AAAAAGATACTTTCAAACAGTTTAATTTGTTTTTGTTTGGTCGTGTGACCATAAGAAATAAAAGAGCATTAATTCAAACATTTTTTCAGAGAATTAAATAGGATTTAGCATCAGATAGCCTATTTTAGCCTCTCGAAAGCCAAGCAAAAGGTAATAATGTACCAAATAAGAAAGAAAATGGACGTTTTTATTTATTTAAATAAATCTGTTTGTATCTTACAATAATTTGAGATCTAGGTAATGCTTTTTCAGATTTTCTTGTACAGCAATTATATCGTACCCCTTTAAAGACATCCTCGATTGTGAAATGCGGATAGCATATGTCAGTCCATGTAAATGATATGAATCTTTTGACATTTTCCCCTGTACAATAGTCTGAGACAGTCAATGAAGCACTATAAATGAAAATGGTCTACTCGGTATGCTTAGTTCTTTGTTTAGTAAAAATGACACCGTAATGCTTATTTTTAATGAACTAAAATGTGATAGATTCTTAATATACAAAAGAATGAAACTTACAGCTATTTTAAAACAAATTCTGTCGTTGTTGTATCAATCATTTAATCATAATTGTAACACGTTATTTAATTGGGTAAAATTTTCAGTTTCATATGTTATACGATATAACATAACTTTAGACAGTTTACGCTTTATAAACCGCGTAGCGGTTTATAAAAAAGCGTAAACTGTACCAAGTTATGTTAAATCGCACAACACAGGTTCAAATAAGGTTCATTTCTTATAATTTAATTTCAGTGTAGACAATAAGAAAGTTTTTTTCCTCCAAAAATGGCTTTAAATTGAGAATATATTTTAAAAGTAACGTGAAGCGGAGTAATACGTTCTTGACTTAATTAATTGTGACGTAGGAAACTTATTCGCGGTTTACAAAAAAGCGTATTAAGTGCCCCAAGTTATGTTATATCGTATAAAATAAGTTGAAATAAGCTTCATTCCTTATAATTTAATTTCAGTGTAGACAATGAGACAATTTTTCCTCCGGAAAAAGGCTTCAAATATAGCATATTTTAAAAGTAACGTCAAGCGGAGTAATACTTTTTTGACGTAACTCATTGTGACGTAGGCAAGTTATGTTATACAGAATAAAAAAAATCTTTTATCCAATCAAATGACGTGTTATAACTAAAATTAAATTATATCGTAATAGATGAAATCTTTTATCCAATCAAATGACGTGTTAAAACTTAAATTTAATTATCATTTTTAAAAAAATAAGTAAAGACTTGATCTGATAGTTTTAGTTATCAATCATTTGCTACAAGTATGGCTCAGCTTATTTTTTGAATTCAAATTTGCAATGTAATGCCTATGTGAATTCATATTTCATGAAATATGTTTGGAGAATAATCAGGACTAAGCACATCTGTGATATTTTCTCTCTTGTTTTACACAGTGTGAGAATTAATTTCAATTTGTAGATCATGTTTTTGATTTTACGGCTAGAATATGAATCGCAGTCAAAAGTTGAATTATCATTAGCATCTATGAATTTTTACTTCGTATTTTTTATTTAAATTAAGAACTTTCACCTGTCGCCCGACTATTTGCCTACACAATACGGAAAATTGCCAGCAAGGAAAATCTGACATACCTGCATTATCCCCAAATTAACTTGTAAAAACCAATCCAGAAATATTTAAAACCTACTTAAACACTGGATTTGATTACTTAAACGTTTACATTCAGTGGTACAATTTGTATAATTACATAAACACGGAAAAATATTTTATTTGTGTGATTTTTATTTAAATGGCAATCTGGGTCTTAAAAGGTGATGACTAACAAGAATGATATGATATAACAATAAGGTTAAAATAACCATTTCATATGTGTAATAGGACGGCAACAATTTTTATGTAAGCTTAATAGATTAGTCATATCGTAATCTAGGTTTTAAAAATTTCATCTGAACGTATAAAAATATAAACCCGTCTTTTTTTTCTTGGGGAGTTATTATTTTCAAAAATTTTCTCAACAAATATTATATTCTTTGGCAGATAATATTTAGAAGTTCGATCGGATGTTCACAAGCCGGAGGAGGAGGAGAAGGGGGGACAAATACTGCTGTATATAATTCATCACTTTTCCCCCTTTTTCACTTTGTTTACGGCATTCCCATTTTGTTTATCAAAGTCATCCTATACAGTTTATCTTGGAACTATAAAACTCAAATATTCCTACAATTGAAACCGAACGTTCTTAATCCTTAAAATAAGTATTACTGTATATGCACAGGCACCTGTGTGTACATATATGTTCTTTGTAAATACAAAGAAATCTATTTTTTCAAATTGCAGTAGTAGAATGCTTAAATTGGTCATTTTAAAAAATAAATACCTGCATGGGAAAAAATCGAATTTTTTGTTTTCGATTTCTTTTTTTGTATTTTTATTTATTTATTTATTATCAAGTGCTAAAGGCAGCGCAAATCGCTATTTGATTTTGGAATCTTTGGCTACGATAAGGAGGATCAAATTCGATGTTCACAATAAGTCTCGCATGCTTTATAATGTAAAGTCTTATTTAAAATCTTTTGAAAAACTGTTTTACTGTCAAAGTCTTGCTTATCAAAGTGATACTTTTATTTTCCATGAATAAAAAAGTTCAGTTTTTCAATAATTGATTAGTATCTGTTAAACATACAATTTAATGTTTTAATGATCAATATAGATTCTCTCATGTTGATGACTGTATGTGTTTAAATCCAGAAGACCCACTTTTACGTTGTTGTAGATTGATGACAGACGACTGTATTAAAGTTTGGAAATGAGGTCATTGTATAGACCTTAAAATTTGAAAAATTTTGATTTCAGACAAGATTAAGATACCCTTGTATCATCAGCTTGTTTGTCAGTTGTCTGTCTTGGGTTTAAACATACATGTATTTATAAGGATATGCATTTTTGTATCAAACCAACTTAATGTTCTCTTTCTATCGAAAAAGGGAAGTTGAAATCGAGACAATGCGTTTATCATAAAGTTTTGTTGTTACGTTGTCATCATTTTTCTTCTGTCTTCTCCTTAATAAAACATTCAAATAGGAAACATATGTTACAGACTCTGTAGCCTCTCTCTCTCTCTTTAAGTTCAGATGAATGTACGATTTATAAATATAACAACAAAAATTCATCAATTTACCTAAAACATAACAAAGCTTCAATACAAATTATGACCAGGGACGTCACTCCCCTCAAACTTGGACCGAATATCGGACCCAATCCCAATGGCACAAAGTGCTAAATTTTCCCAATTTCATACGTAAAAATTTCTCAAACACGTGTTTTCTCGTATATACGACCTAATATCCCACACATACATCCTTTATTTGATCCATTTAGCATTAATGCATGCTTAATTTTAATCTGCAACAACCCTGTCATGATCGTTTATTTCTAGTTCGAATTTCCTCTGTCATGGAATAGAGATCTATAGATAGGTCATACGTAGATTGGGATGGGGAACTTATTTTCATTATTAAACAAGGATAACCATTATGAGTTAGTTAACAAAATAAATCAATATATTGTAAAGTGAATTATAAATTAAAATAAAATCTTGGACATATTTCATTTGCATGAGTCAATTAAATGACCAGAAAAGAAAAATAAATTTTAGGCAATTTTATGCTAACCTTTTAAATAGTGACTTGATCATTTCAATAAAATTATTCTTTATAATCTAATTTTTTGATTTATTTAAGGTGCAATTAAACAGTGAGAAATACCTCCCTCCCCACATTTTTTTTCCAGTCTCTGTATCATACGAAAATAAAAGAAAAAATGCCTGTCCAGTAAGTAAATGTTTTGTCTGTTAAATATAGATTTCATCAGACCTTGCGTCCTGTAAATTTTAGCTTTTCAAGTTTATTTTTTAAAGGTTATAAATGGCTTTCTGCCTTTCGTGATTAAATACTTTGTCTTTCTTGGGTTAAAACATATTTATAAGGATATGCATGTTTGTATCAAATCAACTTTGCTGGGGAGGTTAATACGTGTACATGTAAGTATGTTTATAATTTTCCCAATTTAACCAAAATGTCGCGGATTTTTCCCAACATAGAGGGACCCAGTCCCTGTACCAAAAGGTGCTGTGACAGCCCTGATGCCACAAGCCACATGCATGCCGACATGAAATTTTCAATCCGAGCCAATCGTGTATTTCCCCGAAAAAGCATAATCCATCCATGCGTCTTATCATCAAATCAGATATTTGCCTAAATGTATTGAGAAATATTTTAGAAACCAATGTGATTGAAATTATATTTTTTCAATATTCTGTCTGCTACAAAATTAGTGTACCTTTCGTGTTAGAATCCAGGGCAAAGAATTTATATTCTAGCTAACCCAACTCAAATAGCGGAAACAAAGTTTTCCTCATGAAATAAGTGCATCTATTCTTTAAATTAATAGATGCTTATATAACACAGTTATCTTTCTCATTCGGAAGTGAAGTCATAAAACCATTGCGTGAGTAAAACATTCATTTAGCAATATACAAGCCATGTGACACTATCACCATGCAACGGTTCGCTTAACATTTCCGGGGCCCGAGTCAAGTCAGTGTTAATCAAACGGAATCTTCTTAATTACAAATACTTAAATGTAATGATTTTATCTGGGGACACGTGTCAATCACACTATCAAATGATGCATTGACTCTCCCTCATGGCAAACTTAGTAAAATTTTCTCATTTGTAGATCATTTGTCTTTACTCGTAAACATTCAGAGAAGTAACGAATTTAATTTTCTTTCACTTAGGGGCCTAAGTGAATGCTATTACGCCATAAAAGATATGGGAGAATTTTTTTTTCAATGCAAATTTGCGTCATCGATGTTAGTGATATTTGCTAATTTGTTGAAAAAGTGTATTACTGTACACTTTTTATCAGCGACTCTTGTAGCAAAATGTGATCCAAGAAATTATAATTAAGATAATTGGCAATGATACACAACTGATATTCATAAATCATTCACTTTATTTACAATATAATTATCACTAGCACAGATATACAGGGAAATATAAATCTATACTTTGAAATCAGTACAATTAATAAATTTTCTCCGTGACAACTCGTCATTATATAATGAGTCTGTTCAATAAATATTAAATATTAGTTTACCGTTCTTTTGCACGAGAGCAAAAATCGATCCCTAGGGGAGCTATAGTATCACTCACAGCGCGTCACCAAAGTCACTAATGCTGTAAATATTTTCATGGTTCCTTCTTTCTTGTTCAAATAGTTTAAAAACCAAAAAAACGAACCCGGACCACTTCAAAGAGGAATCATTTATCCCACAACATGCATTTTCACCTTTTTAGACAGATGTTACGTACTTTGTCCGAGGTAGGGATAGTACATAGGGTGATTCTGCCCGGCGTAGGCGGGGTGGGCGCGAAGGAGCCCTAGCGCCCCCATCAGGTTGTGACTAGGTAGGTAGGGGTGGAGCCCCTGTCCGTATAAAGATGAATAGGGAGAGGAAAATGTGGAGACACTGGAAGAAACTGGCACAGTGGGGCTGTTAACGTCCATTCCCGGGTTCTGCTTCTTCCACTTCGTGCGACGATTCTGAAACCAGATTTTGACTTGGGTTTCGGTGAGGTTCAATGAAAGCGCCAAGTTAAGTCTTTCACACACGGAGAGGTATCTGGTTGTTTTGAATTTGTTTTCTAAAGCGACTAATTGTTCATAGGTGAAAGCTGTCCTCGCTCGGCGGGGTTTTCCCGCTTTTGAAGAGTCAAAATTTTTACATTTTTTGTCCAAACAGTCTTCATTGTCACTTAACAAATCATCTTCATCGTCCATTTCGTCATCTTGACGTAATTCGTCGTCTGCTTCAGATCCCACTCTGCTTTTACAAGACAGGTCGGTAGCCATCTCTGTGCCTTCTGTAAAAGAAAAATTTAAAAATAACAAAAATGTCAAGAATCATTTCGATAAAATTTTAAAAATATGTCATGTTAAGTCAGTAATTTTATATTGAATACTTAGTGTTCTATATTGTCAATGATGAAGAGAAAAAAATACAAGACAAAAAAATTAGTTTTCTAAACAAAAACAAAAAAGTCGTGATCGAGGGCTTTGGTCGATCAGATATTTATTTAAAGAAATAATTCACAAAACTCGAAATAAATTAGATTGATAACGGCATGAATGAAAAATAAAATGCTTTCTTTTGTACAGTATATTTTTGTGTTATTTATTATCTAGTATGTGATTTTTTTTTTTTTGTATTCTATGCAGGAAACCCCAAGAAAAATTATTTTTGAAAAGTTATTTTATTTGAATTAACATAAAACGATTGTACGGCGGGCACCTGCACTATGTCTTCTCCACAGTTCTAGGGGAAAATTATGCTCATTTGTTTTTGTACAGTATAACTAAAAATTTTCAAACACTTTCTGACATCGTTAGATTTTTTTAATAATTAAAAATGAAAGAAATTGTAACAGCAATGATTTTCAAAAAAATTAAGTAGTTTAATGTCAAAAATGTACAAATCTACAGTGCACATATTTTTTCATATTTTATAACTATTATTTAGTTATTTCAAATTTATTTATCCTTTTTTGAGATGAGAAATCAAATTGAAATGCGAATGCAATTATATATATTTTCTTAAAAGTGTATCTCAGAAATAAGTTATATTTTTGTTCTGATATGAATGTAACAAAAAAAAGTTGTATTTTGTATGATATCAAAGAAGCAAGGGTTTTCAAAAATTTTAAATTATTCATATCATGCTTTAAAGAACAAATATCATTATCAAAGGAGGAAAAATCAAAGCTAATACTGAACATAAACAAAATCCTTGTAAAATATACATAAATTGAGATGAATATAAAAATGGGTGTAAATTGTGTACAAACAAAATTGAAAGGATATCATAATACAAAATTTATTGCTAATTTATGTAAGGCTTTATGTTTACTCCAGTTTTAAAAGAAAATACTTCTGCAGAACCGAATGGCTTTTTTTGTATAATTAATATACAGTAATAATAGCAGGCACATCTGTGTCATTTGATGTCTTTAACATTAAATTTGACATATGTGACAAACTTCTTGATAGAGATATCAAATGTAATGTAATATTATGACAAGCTATTAACGTAAACGGGTATCTTGGTGACAATAAAATACCACAAATGTTTTACTCTGGATGGTTTTGTACAGGAATGGGTAATAGCCCGGGAAATTGCATAAAATACTATCTCATGTTAGATAAATTATCTTAATTGTTCGCTAAAAACTGTCCCCCTGGTCCATTGAAGCTTTTGAAAAGAAAACTATACTTTTTGAACATTTCATTTCCAAACAAATTTGGCAATATTGATATATAGCTCAATTATAAAACGTTCTGTTTTCTATTGTGTAATAAAATTCCATTTCCATCGCTATCATTTTCTCTTTGTCCCTCTTTTTTAAATGTTATTATCAAATTTTTTCTCGGATTTTATATAACATTTCATGATTTCGTTAAATCCTGAAAATCTGGTAGTATGTGACACAGAACGCTAAATTATCAAAAATCAGAAATTGACAGACAGCGACAAATGTGGGAGAGACTTAAATGAAGCAGAAAGAGAGATGGGGTTGTTTCATTTTGGGACGGTACAGGACACACATGTTTTCGCCTACAGACCGTCACCGCGTTCGCCATATTTAATTTGTTTCATTTGCTTTTGTCAACACTGTTTGATTTATTTTTTTAGAATATGTGTTTCTGTTTACATTTTCAGTTCAATCACCACAAGATTACTTATTGTTCGTACATCTGGCCAGGGATACATACACGGTTTGTGCCATCGTAAGTTATGATAGCATAAGAATTAGCATCAATTATCGATGAATCGCTAAAACTTATTAATATGCTATTTGTGCATAATGTACACTAATCATATTTAGCCGCTGTAGAGTTTTGGAGGGTAATTAGATAATAATTCCGGATTCTGGCATCTGTAATGGTCACGATTAAAGACACACAGCAGTCTTTTTATCTTCAAGGGTTCTTCGAAAATATTGAGAGAAAAAATGTTTGATATTCCAAGAAATCTTCAACCAATTACTTATTCAATTATCTAATTCAGATAAGGACGATCAGGGACCTTTGTTGTATACTAATAAACCAATTAACCATAAATTAGAACTTAATCGATGGTAAAATTTCTCTAATAAACCTTGTCACATTAGGAATCTCCTATGATACGGGAATATTTGGAGTTTTTGTGTTTCTCCATTATGACGTAAACTTATTGGGCCCCGTCTGTACCCAGTGTCAGCGTCCCAGCAGGGGGCGCTGTGGTGGCAGAAATGACCGTTATCGCGTCAACAGAGATCCTTAATTTGCTTTATCTTCATTAGAACAAATCGTAACTAATGACCAACCACACGGCCAAGTGTGGTTAATGTTTCATTTCTTCTTATCTAGCAACACGTCCTAATTAATTAATGACGAGGGTAAGGCGCTTCGTTAATTCGTCTAATGAAGATGTCATAATAAGAATTCCCCGCGGAATATTTAGAAAATTTTAAATAATTTATCAGACAGAATGGATTATTTTCTCAAAGTAATTTAAATACCAAAATAGATTTTTATGCAAAGAAAAACTAAGAATATTTCTAAAATAAAATAAAGAAAAAAAAAATATTGTAGACAGAAGCAAATTAAAAACGAAAACAAATATATAATCATACAAAATCAAATAAAATTAACATTCTACCAATTTGAACATACTTTAAAACATTTTTATAAAAAGGGAAAAAAGATAACATAACATGAAACTTAACATATCGACGATTGCATAATTCTTAGATTTATCAGGGGAATAAAAATGAGTTTTTAAAATTCAATTTGTATATAGCTTGTAGGAAATATATAATAAATCCCCGTATTTTGTTTCTTTTCCCTACCCCGTAACCCTTTCCTACATGTGTATTAGTACATGTAGTAGTGCAAACTTATGTACCTGGTCCCTCTGTTCTGTCGTCATCTGATGTGCTCTCGCCACTGTCTGTCAGCCGTCGCTTCCGGTCTTTCCACGGAGTCCAAACTCGAGATTTTTCCGTCACCGAACATCCCGTAAATTTCCTAGGGTCCAAGATGTCGGCCACAGAGAACGAAGTGGTCCGAACTGTTTCTGAATTGTCTTCATTATTGTCCTCCGGTCTTTGAAGTCTTTCTTTTACAGCATCACTACTTTCAGTTTTAGATTCCTCTGATGGCGACAATTTGTCGTCTTTTTTCGGGGACGACATCTTATGGTAACAAAAACGAATTCCTTCTTTATCTGATACTCGTGTAAATAAAGTGTTAAAATTCTCAAAAGAACTGAGACATATAGATGAACGTTTGTGAAAAGGGGGCTGTCCTTTTACTCGTAATTGTAGAAATTGTAACACCTTTTTGATTGGTTCGTGTGAAATGTATACTGTATCAGTTTATTCTTTTTGACTACTGCTGCGCATGTGCGAGACATCCTAATATTGACGCGTGTTCGCAGATGGATGAAAAGCAGAGGGATATCGGCGACTGACAACTGATTTTCTCGGGGTGTCTTTAATTGGATATAAAGCTAATTGATAACACTGAAGAGAAAATTAGGCGATCGTTCAAAGCTTCGAAGAAAGATTTTCTGTGAAAATAAACAAAATATATAAACATTCTCTGTCGTTCAGTGCACTTGTTTGATGTGGAAAATGAACCGAACCCGGCAGCGGAGTTTATCTGAAGAAATCGGGCGTGACGGATTTGAAGTATTTTTTCAAATAGAAAATAAAACTTTATTTAGTCCAATAATTGGATTTTGAGGAGTCAATTTCTAACTTAAGCCTTCCCTGTGTTATTTTATTTAACTAAGCGGCCCTGTGATCTATAAAAACCTGCTTGATCTCATTTAGAAACATTTACAATTAAATGATTTAATCCGCTGGCCAATACGGTCTTATCCCACACAATGAGAACAAAATTTGAAACACATTAAACTGATAAATAATTAACAACATAGCAACATATGGAGTAAAAAAGAAGGCTCGTTCGTCTAAAAAAAAAACAACAAAAAAAACAAAACATTTTGATGTATTTCATAACAACTTCAAAATAAAAATTATCTTTTAAAAAAGACAATGGTTGCATTTCTTTCATGGATTTCTTGTTTTATCTACATGTAAAAGCATTTTTAATAATATATTAAACCAATTCTTTTAAAGTTGTTTTTTTTTTCGCATTTGAAAATTATTAGTTTGATGTACTCTGTTTTTTCATTTGACAACTGACCAACTTTTTTTCTGAGAAGGGATAAAGGGTGGGAAAATAACTTTATTTATCACTCCTTCTAGTGTAATTCTGCGAAGCACCTTTTTCTGAAAAAGTATAAGATTCTTGTGCTATTTTTGTTTCTTGAGAAATTGAGTATTGATTTGTTAACGCATTTGCTTAAGAAAAACTAATTATTAAAGACGATGAAGACAAATATAACTTCTTAAAATCATTTATTTTTGATTTGGCGATTGTGGTATATACTTTATTAATCGTTATAACATAACTTCTTATAAACCTTATAATCCTTATCCTTATAAACCTTATATCCTTATCCTTATAAACTTTATATCCTTATCCTTATAAACATTGTATCCTTATCCGTATAAAGTCCTGAAGAAAGAAACAGAATTTTCAGAAGTTGTGAAAAATACTTGAATCATGGAAGAAAAACTAAATAATACTAGAAAAAGAAAGAAAAGAATTATCGATAAAGTGTTGACATCATGAACTCGGTCATATTATTTTAATATTTCTTTTTTAATAAATTGGAAAAAATGGGATGCAAAAATCCTTTTTTTTGATGTAAATGTCCAGAATTCATAATGAGAAGAAGAAGACTTGATTCACTCGAAATCATTCCTGGAATTAGCGTGATAAAGACAATATTTACTTAGGGCTTAGTTGTCATTAGGAATATTTACACAGACCTTTGAACAGTGGTAATTAACTCTTCTTAAGAAGGATTAAAGGAGGAAAAATTAGACGAACTGGTCTCAGAAAAACTTGATGGGTACGAGGCGTACATGTGGCGAACACTCATGGGAGAATAAGGTGCTATTAATTTTTTTGTTTCTTAAGTTTGATTTATGAAAGAAACGGTAACTTATAATTAAAAGATATAGGAGTAAAATACTGAACTTGATATTCAAGAAAGTGTTTATACATAATTATTAAAATGATGGAAGCAAAATAAAGAAAGGGTGTGAAATATTTTTTTAAAAAAAGGGGGGATAAGAAAACAAAAGAGAACCAAAAAAATATCCCCCACCAAATCCTAGTGTATTTAATTTGTTAAACACGTTGATTAATTGATACGAAAATCAGTGCCAAATGATGAAGATTAAATTCACTTTAAATTTAATTTTTTTTTACTAGCTCAACATTTTCTTTTTCAATTTTTATTCACCACTTTTTCCATTGTTATTTTTAATGTCCTGTCAATCTTTCGATGTTTGATCATATCGTAAACACTTCCAAATTAATGAAATCGGGAGTTCATATAAAAAAAAGTTAATAGAGTCATAAATTGATAATTATACGACTTGAAAATGAAATTGGAAATAAAACAAAAAATATGTACGTGTAGTTAAAAGCGTTTAAAAAATGTACGCATATTTTACTCATTTTTTTAAAAAATGTGTTTTATCATTAACGATTTTATTTTTTACGAAGGAAATAAAAAAAATACGACTCATATCCCCATGTGCACTTTCAAAGACAACCAAATATGAAGCGACCGTTCCTGCGCGTGCAGCCGATAATAAGTTAGTTCAGATTGTAACACACTTTTTGATTGGCTAAAAAAAAAATTAACCAGGTTATCCCCGTATAACCTGTCTTGGAGCATATACAGTTTTTTTTTTTATCCCGAAGCATTGCAGGTCATAAAGCACCAATCTTTAAGCTATATTATTAGTTTACCCTGAAGTAACATTTAAAATTATTCCTTATGTAATGGGTATTTGTTCCGGTATTTTCCATTAAAAAATTGAATTTGAAATTCCTTTTTTTAAAGGCTTAATAAAATTAGGAAAATACGTAGATGCGTAGGAAATGAAAACAAAAACAAATGAAGAATTTTTTAGTACTAGACATTAGTTTATGAATTCAGAGGATTATTGATTCCATAACTCACTTTCAAAGGAAGGATCAAGGATTTAATTCTGCAAGCAGTAATCCAACTTATGCCAAAACCACTTTCTAAGGAGGACATTTATTATAACAATATTTAGTTTAATTTTTTTTTTAAATACTAGTATTTTCAACAATCAAGATGGATTCAAATTACCATTATATTACTGGATTCCAAAACTCACTAAAATGCTTACAAACAAGGATTCATAAAGGGTTCCAGTAAATGTCCTACAATACCTCATTCTTGACTCCTTATTAAAATGTTAACAAAAGAAAATCTCTAAGAGAACTCCAACAGTATAATTGAGAAATGGTGTGAAATCATATAGGAATATTAAAAACTCTAAGGAACTTTTGGAAAATTTGAAATCATAAAATTTTCCCAAATCAATAACAATAACATCAAAACGCACGACTTTTCAACACTTTATTTAACTATTCCTCATGATAATACAGGCTTTTTTTCATCATAAACAGCCTGCTTTTAAAATTGAAATCATGAAAGAAATATACTTACTTGTCGTTGGTCATTTGCAAAATTATTTCGACAAAACACATTGTTATTGTACATACAAGTACCGCGAAGTCGATATTAAAATATATTCTGATTGACAATATCTGTAATGTATCTAGTGATAAGGTCTTCCAACAATCTATTAGAAATCCCATGGATACGCATTGCACCCAATTATTAGCAGACACATTTTTGTATTTGAAAGAAGCAGAATTTATTAAAAAAAAACTACAGGAGAAGAGGAAACACTTTCTGAGACCTACAACTCGACAATTTGAAATATCGACGACGTATTATCAATTAACAATAGCTACTTCCATTCATATATGGTCGACTCGTTGTATTACATTAAGCTTGAAATAGAAGCTATACTATAGAGTATTATACATCTGCTGTTTTATATTTGGATATTTTGCAGGGCGTTAATGGTAATCTAGAACAAGACTTACTAGTATGACAAACATGACGACTTCATTTTTTTTCAATCGTCAACTTCCCTTACTTATGCAGCAATATACCATTATCACCTGCATAAGGGTTTTATACCTCAGTTGATTCGATACGCAAGAGCATACTCTACGTATGAGCAATTTTGAACGAGGCAAGTTATTGGCAATCAAATTTAAAAAAAAAAAACAAAGATATTAATAGTCTCGCTTAAAGTAATCATTTCCAAAGTTTTATGGTCGATACAATGACCTTGTCAACAAATACAATATGTCATTAGTTAAATGCTGACTGACTTTTTTCATGAAGATATGGAGATAATGAACAGTATTCCAGATCAAAAGACTTTAAAACAACACAAAATAGGAGCAGAGCAAACATGGACCTCCAAAATATCAGAGGTGGGATCAGATGCCAGTCAGCATTTGACTCAATGATAAATTGTATTTGCTGACAAGGTCATTGTATCGACCATAGAGGTAACGAAATGATGACTATAAACGGGACTGCTGAAATTCTTGTTTCATCAACTTGTTTGTCAATAATTTACCTCGTTTTAGAAATTATTCATACACAGAGAATGTTCCTGCGTATCGAATCAACTGAAATAATTATATAAACTCCGTATGCAGGTGATGAAGGTATATTGCTGCATAAATATACAAGGGAAATTGACTATGGAAAAGTTAAAGTCATCACGTTTATCATAGAGCTTGGTTGTTAGATTACCATTAACGTCTTTTTCAGGTAAAATATCCAAATATGAAACAGATGTATCAGACCTCATAATATTTGTGACGCTATTATTTCCTACATATATTCCCTTATATCCCGATCAAAACAAGGAATACATGGCAGAAGCGACCTTTCAGCAGCTGATGCTAACTCCTCCATGGCACCTGATCCAACTTCTTATAATTTTGGTGGTCTGTCCTTCGGATTAGACCGTATAAACCGAGGTCCCGTGTCGTAGTAAATGTTGGCACGAAAAAGATCCCTCACTGCTCATTAGCCCTCGGTGCCGAGTATATAGGTGTAGAGATCTGTAGTCAAGTGGTGGTGTCTCCACATCAGCAAAAACGTCTCCAGAGGGGCTTTAAACATCAAACAAAAAAATGAATAGTTATTTTCATTCATTTGTCGATATCTCCCTATGAACTTGAAATGTGACACCACAGAGTCTGTAACATCTATTTCAATATATTAATGTTTTATTGAAAATAAATAGTTTATTGATTGTATGTTGTTTTACGTCGCATTCGAGAATGTTTCACTCATATAGAGACCCTCACTATATAGAATATACCGACGAATGACTTCAAATTTTGACCTTTGTTCGGCAC